CACCATGCTCAGACCATGGATCGTGTAAGGGAGCGTCACGTCTCCGGTGACAACTTCCAGATCGACGCAAAGCGCAGCTGCCGTCGACTTCGAACAAAGAGGCTCCGGTCTCCTTCCATTATAATAGCATTGCGGTGTTGCTTTCGTGGTGGCGACGACGCCTCGACTTCTTCATTGTAGCACCGGGATTGTGGTGGCGACGGCGCGGTGTTTGTAACACCGAGATTGGGGGGGATTATTAAGGTTTGGGTTTGTAGAATGTCAAAAAATGTGTTAGAACGCGAAAAGGGCATGAGGCTGTTAAGCCTGTCGCTCGAGCGATAAGCTAGTAACATGTTTGTCGCTAGAGTGGCGGCGGGCAACAGGCGAGTGACCAAGTCTCCAGAGAAAACATGCAGGTATTTCTCAAGCGGTCAGCTAGCGAATTGAAGTAACTTTTCTTTTCGATCCATAATTTCAACATCTTCAAGTCAAATATAATTAAAACTCCTAATAGAGCTTCCAAATAGAATTTCAACTTGAATAAGACTCTAATAACATTCCAAACTAAATTCCTATTGACGTGCACTTCAATTACTCCAACAAAAAATTCGAGTTACACCCAAATTCTAATACCAATATTTACCAATAAACAATTATACCAAAATGAAACGTAACACTATATTCTGAATTTGAAGATTACATCAACCAATTCTTCTACTTTTCTTTTCTTTATGAATTTGATGTTTTAGTAGAAGATATTTAGAAGGTAAATAAATTGTTTGAAATAATTATATTTGTGTTTTTATTATTTTGTTTTCTAAGTTTAAAAATATTAATTTTAAAATAAAAAAATGTATAGTGGGTTGAGTCGGTTAATTGACGGGTTGGTTGTTAAACCGCAACCAATCCAATTCAATTTTTTCATGATTAAAACTAATCGGAGTAAACTGACTTCTTGGTTCAAACCAACCCATCTCGACTCGATTTGGTTTGATCAATTTATTTGTTTTTTTGCCTACCTGTATATGAAACTTGTGCGATAGGTCCTAGATTTTTAATTTCTGGTACTTGAAATTTTAAACTTCTCAAACGTCTGTTGAGGTCAAACTTTTAAATGTCTGGTTCTGAGGTTCTTTTGTCATAGAAATCGTGATTTAACAGTTAAAGTTCAAATATTGAGTAAAATGATTGTTATGCTTTAGCCCATGTAGCTTGTCTAAAAAAATTAAAAATTTTAGTACATTTTGATAAATTTTGATGAAATGTGCAGTTGATAAAAGTTGAAATAATGTAATTAAAAAAGTGATTGAGGAAAAGCGAATTTTTAAAAATTGGTGCCAAACATGGTTTTAATTTGATTCTAAACAAATTAATAAACAAACTAAAACAAATGAACATGACAAAGAAATAAAAGAAGAAAAATGAAAAAGTGAAACATTTACTCCCACACCCCTCCAATTTCTCCCCAGTGCAATTTGCCCCCTGGTATTCTCTTCAATGGCCAGGATCTCCGTGCATATTACATGAGCCAGCGCCATATTATGAGAACAAGAGAAATTTAGAAGAAAAGTCCTTTTTTCAATCTATAAATTATTTAGAAGATAAAGAAAATGTGTATAATTTAGGCTTATAATTCTAAACAAAGAAAAAATGAAAGATTCATAAGTTCCTTTGGGCTGTTATAGGTTTAGCTATCGCTTACCACAACCACAAGTCATAACTTTGTCTGCATTTTCATTTTGTTCCCCAGCATTTCTCTCTCTCTCTTTGCTTTAGGCCCTATTCGATAGGCAGTTTTTTCCATGAAAGATAGAAAATAAGTTTCATTTTCCACTTCTTGACATGTTTGATAGGTTAAATTTTTCAGGCAAAACACTTTCTCATTTAACCTCACGTGACCCATTTTCCACCAAACTGAGCAAAACATTTTCTCCCATGAAGGCTGGGAATCGATTTTCCCTGGAAGAAGGAAAACCATATGTGGATTCTCTCTCGCAAGCTACGCCCGTTTCCTGGGGGGGGCGTTTGGGTCTTCCACCATCGCCAGACGACGGCGACGACGGAGAATACCCACCTGTGGGTCAAGAAGGAGAGAGGGTGAAACCCAGAATTTTCGGCGTCTTCTTAGCAGGGAATCCACGTCTTCGGTGTCTTCTTAGCTGTGAATGTTCAGTGAAACCCAGAATTTCTGGAATCGACTTCTTCTTCAGCTGGGAATCGACGTCTTCTTCAGCTGGGAATCGATTCTTCAGATGAAGCGTTGTCTTCAGTGAGAGAGAGACAGAGAATACTGGTGGAGGTAAACCCATTTTTTCAATTATTTTTGGGATATGAAGATGTTATCTTTTAAGTTTTAATGCTGGACTGTTTGAGAGGCTATTGATATTTTCCTATTTTTCTTGTAGATACTGCAATTCATTTGAAATATTTAATGGCTTCAGTCCGTTCTGCTTTGTATTCAATTGAAGTGATTTGGATGTATCAATTGCTTGTTGACTTGAACTGAGTTTAATTATATTGTGAATTGATTTGTTTCAAGCCTCGTTTCTTGTTTATTGTAAACTCAAATCACGGATTGAAGACCCATGAAGGAGGCTGGGCAGCGGTGGTGGGGATGAAGCTGGTGGCAGAGAGTTAGCTGGGGAGTTGGGCTTGCGGGTGGTGGAGAAATTGTTGGAGTAAGAGGCTGGGAGGCACATGTGGCGTTGATGCTGGAGGATGAACGAATGTTGTGGAAAATTTTTTGTTAAGTTGGATAGTTTCGCATAAATAATCATAATTTTCCATAGAAAACAAAGTCAATCAAATACCAAAAGTTGGAAAATCTAAATATTTTCTAGGTGAAAAATTATACAAATCAAACGCAACTAATTGACAATTCCCGAGAAAAAATTTTCTAGGCAAATATTTTTCCTGAAATTCATTTTCTTTCCACCCATTTTCCACCCTTGCAATCAAACGCACCCTTAGATTTTATTATTTGTTGTTTTCTTAAATAGTTACTTTTAATGACTTTTCCAGCAAGTAGATTCTGATTTCAATGCACATTCTTAAAAGAGCTTCATCTCAAGTAGAATGGTTATATTCAGCTGATGGCAAATCCCTATCATCTATGGAATCATCTTCACTCGTGCTTAAATTCTTGTCCACGTGGTTACTTGAATTTAAGATTCTTAAAAGTTTGTTGGAACTTGGTTTAGAAGATTGAAAATTTTGGTGTCAAAATCAAAAACTTGGGAAAAAATGACTTTTGTGTCAACTTCGGCTAAATATTCGGACTTGATCTAACGGTCAAATTACAAATGTAAACAGACCAACTTATTCTACTCGTCGAGTAGATTATCATGATATATTTGGAATCTAAAAATAAATTCCGGATAAATGAGAAATTGCGGTCCAAATTTGGGAAGAAAATAGAGGAAGCTGTCTGAAAAATTGACTAAGATTGTTGCTAGCTTACAGCTGGACTGTTGCTCGAGCGACATGATTATTGCTCGAGCGATAGGCCAACGACAAGCTAGCGAAAAAGTCACTGTTTTTTATCGCTCGAGCGAGGCGATGGTGATAGACTGGCGACAGTGAATTGTGCTACTTTTGGCAAGTGTTGTCAAGTTTGGGCGAGCTTTATTATTTTTGAAGAATATATTTTGTAATAGTAGATTGATGAGAATGTGTAGTTAAAAATGAAGGAAAAGTTTTTGATTAGCGTGTAATATTATTATAATGAAAAATGTGTGGTTAAAAAATAAGGAGAGAAAAATGTATTTTGAGAAAAATTGGAATCAAACATCCCCTAAGCAATAACTATTGAATACATCAAAATAAAATTAATCATTAAAATTTAAAAGTTACAAATGTGATAATTAGAAATTAAGAAAAAAATTAGCACCGAAACAACATAAATATTGAAAAGTAAAATTTAAAATTGATCATATGTGAGATGAGTATACTAATTCCAAGAATTAAATAAAAAAAAGGGTTAATTTCACGAACGGTCACTGAACTTACGCAAAAATAACAAAACGATCACTGAAATTCAAAACTTGCAGAAATGGTCACTGAAGTTTCATGCGCTTTCACAAACGATCATTGGAGTTTAAGTTTCTTTCACAAACGGTAAGTGGAGGACCGTTATGCCTTTAATTCAAATATAAAGGACCAAAGTGAGCACATCCGAATTTTGGACAGCTTGGAGGTGCCAACTTTGGACTACCATAACTCCGTCTTCAGGCCACCTTTTTCCACGAACCAATATACCATATTGAAGCCCTCAATGCCCTCTAAACAACCCACCCAACCACTAGTCGTGATCCCATCGGAATTGGCTGGAAAATCGCGCCAAAATGAGCTACCCGGATTTTGGACAGGTTGGAGGTGCCAACTTTGGACCACCATAACTCCGTTCTCCGGCCACCTTTTTCCACGGACCAATATAACATATTGAAGCCTTCAATGCCCTCTTCAAAACCCACCCAACCATCGGCCGTGATCTCATCGGAATTGGCCTGAAAAAGGAGCCAAAGTAGGCTACCCACGCACAGCCGGATTTTGGACAGCATACTCTGCGTGGGTAGCCTACTTTGGCTCCTTTTTTTGGCCAATNCCAAGGTGTCCAAAATCCGGGTAGCTCACTTTGGCGCGATTTTCCGGCCAATTCCGACGGGATCACGGCTAGTGGTTGGGTGAGTTGTTAAAAGGGCATTGAGGGCTTCAATATGGTATATTGGTCCGTGGAAAAAGGTGGCCGGAGGATGGAGTTATGGTGGTCTAAGTTGGCACCTCCAAGCCGTCTAAAATTCGAATATGCTCACTTTGGTCCTTTATGTTTAAATTAAAGGCATAACGGTCCTCCAGTGACAATTTGTTAAAGTGCATGAAACTTCAGTGACCGTTTCTGCAAGCTTTGAATTTCAGTGATCGTTTTTTTATTTTTGCGTAAGTTTAGTGACCGTTTGTGAAATTAACCCTATAAAAAAATTAGTTTTTCTTTATGTTGATTTTTTTTAATTTATTAAATTTAATATTTTATGTGGTAATAAGTGTAATTTTTTAAATTTATTATTAAATGCAATATTTTAGTTAATTAAATGTAATTTTTAATTTTGTAATTTTCATAGTAATATAATTAAATAAATTTTTAGAATAAAAAAATAAAGCAATAAAAAAAATTTGTTCATTTAGCTCATGTTTGACAACCATTATTTTTGGAAAAAAAAAGAGTTTTTAATAGTGATTTTTAGGATAATGTATGTTTAAAATGTAAGAAAAAAAATTTGAATTTATTTGCAAACTATTTTGTTGTATGAATGTGCGATTGAAAATGAATATGTAAAAAAAAAAAAAAGTTTAAAATAATGATTGTCAGGCACCGCTTACTGTAATATAAGCCCCCTGTTCGATACTTTTTTTTTTCCTTCCCAAAAACTCATTTTCTCCAACATTTTTGTCGGCCCAATTTTGATTCTCGTCAAGTGAGATAACGGATGTATTGCTTTCAATACAACCTATTTCATATGTAACTTTTGTTATTCCAATTTTAATCCCCCGCTTTAATTTTTTTTTTTTTTTTAAATATTTGAGGGAGAGTGCTAGAAGGGCATAACTGTAATTTAAACTTTCAAAATGAGGGCAGAAATGGCCACCCAAATTTTGAACGGGTGCTTAGTCATTGTCACAGATCAGCCATATGTCTTTGTCACGGAGATTTTTTAAATTATAAATACTGTTCAAAAAATTGAAATTTTCTAAGAAATGGTATAAAAGTAGCATAATAATTTGGTGTTATGGGTTGGAGATGGTGTGAAAGAATAAAGTACATTGTATAGGTATGACAGAGAGGATGGGAGAGAGACTCTGTAGCCATTATCTTTAATTATATGACCTTGACTTAGGAAAGTTTCAAATTATTTGGCAAGAAAATTTTTTCTTGATTCTTGCCTAATTGAGTAAGTTGAGGGATTTGGGTTAAAGATAAGGAAGACATTCTTGCCTAAAATGATGATTTTCTTCCCTTTTATATTTTAATCATTTTGTTACTCTTGCAAGAGTAGGGGAAATTAAGGGAGAATGTAGTCAAAACGTGTAGGAACCAAAATTTGAATTTTTAAAAAAGAGATGAGTTAAATTTATTTAAAACCTTCAAAAAAAAAATAAAAATATATGGCGATTTGAACTAATGTGGTTTGTGTGTCAAACGATGCAGTGTATTGTAATTAATCAAATTTATTTACACGTTGGAAAATGAAACGAAATTCTTCATTATGGATGACAACGAAGTTGGTTGAAATCAAGACAATCATTTCTGTTCCCTGTCTCATAAGGTATTTTTATCAGCCTGTCCTATTCCATAGCCGATTAAGGTGAGGACGGGACAGGACGGGACAATCCGTATACCTCCTCAATTATTATTTTATTTTTAAATGTATTTATTTTGTAAAAATCATTATTATTTTTATAATTTGTAGAAAAACCTATATTACCTTTAGAAAAGATGACAATTCTTTTCTTTTGTGTGATAAAAAATTTAGTCCTTATTTGGTCTCTATTATTTCTAAAATACATTTTCTTATCTTATTTTCAACTATACATTTTTCAATAAAATAATATTACTCAAAAATTCAAAATCTTTCCTCATTTTTTAGGGAAAATTGCAGCCGCGGTACCAAACCTTCAAAAAAATCGCAGCCCAAGTTCAGATTGACAGTTTCCGTCAGTTTGACCCAAAAAACTGTCAGTTGACCTCAAAAATTAAAATTATAATAATTTTGACCAAATAAGACAGGGGTAAAATGGTCATAATACATTTCCCTATTGTTTCAAAAATTTTAAAAACAAAAGACAAAATTACAAGCCCCACCCCACATTTCCAAAACAATCCATTGAATTCCCCCCAAAACCAACCCCAATCCCCGCCGTCGCAGACGTGCCACCCCTTATCCGCCGTAAAAGCCACCGAGAAGGTTGTCGAGCTCGGTGACCAGAGGCCAATGCCGATAAAGTTGTCGAGCTTTGTGGGTTTCCATTGAATAGCCAATGCACAATGCCAGAGGCTCAGAATCCAAGAATTTTCGACAACCCCATAAAGCCAGAGAGTCAAGGAGTTTCTTCAAATGGGTTTGGGGAGAGTAAAAAGGTAAAAAGTGGGCTTCTCACAGTTTCAGTGATTGCTGCTTTTCTGTGGAGGCTCGGATAGTGTTTGTTTCAGTGTAGATGTCTAAGAGAACAAACTGGGAAAGGAAAATGTGAGTAGAGAGGTGGGGGCAATGGGAAGTGAGGAGGAGGGGCAAAAAGGGAAATATGTCTGGTGGATGAAGGTTTGGTTTGGAATTAGAGGATTTGTTGAGGGCATCTACTTATATTGTTGGGAAAAGTAGGAGTGGGATAGCGTACAAGGTGGTGGTGGTGGGTGGAGGTGTCAAGGGGGGAGGATCAAGTGTGGGGGCTTCAATGGTGGTTGCAGTGAAGCGTCTCAGCGAGGAAGACGCCACCTGGAGGTTTAAGGAGTTCGAAACCGAGATGGAAGCCATATGTAGGGTTCAGCATTGTAACATTGTAAGGTTGAGAGCTTATTACCAAGCCAGTGATGAGAAGTTGTTGGTTTATAATTTCATCTGCAATGGAAGCCTGTACAATGCACTACATGGTAAGAATTACTCTTCTGTACTTGTTGATGATTTTTTTTATTTTCTATTGTTGTTTGCTCCATAGAGTAGACAGTAGTTGCAAATTAAACTTCGTTTTTGAAATAATAGGGAAATGTATTATGACCATTTTACTACTGTCTTATTTGGTCAAAATTATTAAAATTTTAATTTTTGAGGTAAACTGAGGGGTTTTTGGGTCAAATTGATGGAAACCATTAATCTGGACTTGGGCTGCGATATTTTTGAGGGTTTGGTATCTACGATGGTACAAATTAAAGGTTTGGGCAAAGTTTGCAAAAAAGTGAAAGGTTTGGTATCGCGGCTGCAATTTTTCCTATTTTTTAGCCAAGCATTTCCATCAAAATATTATTCTAAAATGCATTTCGTTGAGAAAAGAGGACTCAAATAAGCTCTTATATTTTGATATGAACTTTATACGGGGTGGGTAACAAGGATGGAGATCATGTTCCTCGTACCCTGCCCCGTTCCTGTCTCATGAATCCGATTAGGTGAGAAATTTTAGTCCCATTCAAGGTGAATTCTCGTGGGTGTCAAGAGATTTTTTTTGCTATCCATATTCTTTATAAAGTAATGGAGTGATAAACTTAGTAGCTTTAGATAAAAAGAAATAATCTTCTCTTTTAACGAGGATTTAAGTATGGAATTGGTCTTTGGGCAACCTTCTCTTTTACGTGGGTTGAACTCCATGGGTATGTCTCTAGGCTACTCACTCCACACTAGATTAATAAAAGTGGAAATTACACCCAATCAAATTTTTTTAAGATTTAACTTAAAAATTTAGATTTGAAGTTTGTTTATACAAAAATCAGATCATAATTAAAATCTTTAATAATAATATAAAATTAATTTAATTTACATACCTCACTCTCCACCGTTAACCCATCCAACCCGATTTTCACTCTAAAACCCTAACCCCTTTTCTACTTCACTCTCTCTACCTCTTCTTTCCTATTGGAAAAAAAGAGGCAGTGTCGAAGTTATGCCAAAAGCTTTTCGTGGCGGAGGTAGGCTTCATCGAGGACGTTGGCGTTTGACGCAGAAGATCGGCTAGAGGCGGCGCTAGCGTCGACACTGGAGCTGATGAAGATGAAGGCTAAGCTTTTAACGAATAAATCGGACACCAATGTGCTGTGGAAACAAATCGATGCTCGATGTCAGAGTCGAAGGAGTTAGTGGTGGTCGTGTTTGATGCACTAGCATGGCGGTGATGGCAAAAGACAGCGAGGATAACCAAGGTGGAGCTGCGTGACTATTGGATGTAAGTATCATACCAGAGATTCAATGCATGTCTACATTTTTATGTTTAGGTTGTGGTGGTGGTGGTGCGACCTTGGTTGTTGATGGTGTTGGAGTGGTGATGGCGATGCTATGGTGGCAAAGGCAACTTGCGCAGTAAATGGTGGCGCGGTGATTTACATGTTTTGGCTGTTGTTTTTATTGGTGGCATGGTGATGGTGGATCTGGCTGTAGAGGTTTTGTTGGATCGACAGAGAATCTGACGGTGGTGTTATTGGATCTATTGCTGGCAGTGCCCTTGTTGGATTTGACGATAGCAATAATTTTGTTAGACTTGGAGGTGGTGATATTTTTGTTGATACAGACAGTGGTTATTGTTGATATAGGGGGTGATTATTGTTGATACGGGTGGTCATGGTAGTGCCCGTCGACAGATTTGGGATTTTTTTTTTTGGTGGGGATTATGGTTGTGAAGTGGTAGGCGGTGGTGGTGGTGGTGGTGACATTGGCGTTTGAGATGATGGTTTTGCTGCCGAGAGATGGTGGTGGTGGTTCTTTTAGCGGTGATTTTGGCAGTGGTGCAGCTGGTGATAGTGGTGAGGTGGTGATCACAAATGATTTGATTGATTGTGTGACCAATAAATAATATGTGACCAATGAAATAGATAAATTGTGACCAATAAATAGCGTTTTATCTAAAAATTTGTTAATTTGTGATCAATAATTTAATAATTTGTGGCAAACTAATTTGATATTTTGTGATCATGAAATAAGTTGAAACTTATAAAATTTGTGATTTTTGATCAAAGAATAATATGTGATATATTAATTTGATAAATTTATGACCTATAAAATTTTTAATTGTGACAGAGAAATTAGTTGTAGCCAATTAATTCGATAATTTGTGACCAATTTTATAGAATTGTGACATTATATTTAATTAATTATTTCAAAAATAAAATTTAATAAATATCATATTTATGAAATTTTAAACATTTTATCTTAATTTTGAAACGAGTTATGGTTAAACTCTTAGTAACGCATTTTTCCCTTAATAAAATTATTTTAAATGACATATTATGTAACAAAATTTTTAGGGCCATTACAAAAATACACGTACCGCTCTAGTTCATCTTCCCCCCTTACACGAGACTTTGTGTATTCATATAGATTGTAGAGGTCCTCCTCTAGTTTTCGGCAGTGGTTGTTTTGTTCTTCAGCCTCATCAGCATTCTAAATTGGTGGCTTTTTGAGTCATGACATCGAATGAATAAAATTTCTCGTATAGATGTTACGTCTTTCGACAACATTAGGTGTCTAGTGATGCAATGCTCAAGGTGTAGGGATCGATGGCCCGAAGAGGGTACAAGCCATCAGAGAAAGATGAGGAAGTTCTTGAAGTCAAGATCGAAAGCCCCAGTTTCACAATCATTATTTGGGTAAAATAGAGTTTTGAATAGTGATTTTTTTTGGAAAATGTACGGTTAAAAAGGTTCATGTACAAAATATTTTATTGTATAATGTAAAAAAAAGGTTTTGAAATAATAATTATAAAATATGGCTTAATTGAGCTTTAAAGTTGACTAGTCGAGAGAGAGAGTCAAACTGTCAAGGACATGTGCATGTGCATGTGCATGTGCATGTGCATGTGTAAAGGTCTGTGAATTACAACTCCACTCCACATGTGCACACTGCACAAATTAGGGAAGAATCTGAGTTTGTCGTCAAAAACTCTTAAAAGCAAGTTGAAGACAGCTCAAACCATCACAGCTCACATAATATTATAATATCTTAATTTCATAAATCGGACTGTGCCCCTTCCTTTAAAGCTTAGGAATCAATCCTGACCCTCAAAAACTCGACAAGAAATAATTTTGAATTTACGTGTAATATTATTTTATTAAAAATTGTGTTGTTGAAAAGAATAGAGAGAAAAATGTATTTTAAAAATAATTGAATCAAACAAGGGTTAAATGTATATATGCAGTAGGTTAAATCCGATTTCGAGTTGTAGTTCGATCCATTTATAAATTAGCTATGAAAGAATTGGATATCATATCCAGCGTTACATACCAAACCTTCCGAATAAAAAGAATTCCATTTATTTTGAACTTATTGATTGTTGAGAAAATACGAACAACATTTCACATAAGGTTACATAGATATCGAACGAATTTATAATAGAATTGGGTTGCTTCGATTCGACTCATATGTTAAATATTTTGGGATGAAAGTCTAATTGTCCCTTCGATCGATTCAAGCAATTAATTACTATTATATATCACATTTGGTGTATAAATTGAAATAAAGGTATAAAGATAAGATGAATGATAGAGGGTTGGTAAATAGATAGGATGGGAGGAGTCACATCAAGTTCAACTAACCTTTGTTCATTGATTAGTGTATATAACATAACGAGAATGTACCATAGTTTTTCATTCAAATTACAAATTTGTTATATTGTATGTAACCATCGGACTCAAATCGATCGATGATCCAGCCAAAGTATCAAGTTGGTAGGTCTTTGACCAAACAAAACTCGTGGGCGGCTTATTTGGTTTGCAGCGTTTGGTATTTACATTTGAACTTGTTGAGCTTCGATGATATTAAGCCCCCATTTGGTGTAAATTAAAATTAGATTTAGTAAATTTTCATAAAAATTAATGAAATGAGTGATTGAAAAGTTGTGGGTCTTTTAAAATATGTAGTTAAAATTAATTAATTTTGATTTAGTTTAAAATTTAGATTACAAAATAGGAGCCAAGCATTAATAGAAACCGAATTTCGTTAAGTGATTTAGCTCATGTTTGGTCTTGATTAAAATCAGCTTAAAATCTCAAGTCAAAGTCAACATTTAATTTTAACGTATATTTTATAGTATCCATAACTTTTCAATCATTCATTTAATCAACTTTTATCAAAAGATACAAACAATGATGTAAGATGAAAATGTGAACAATAACATAATGGCATTGTTCGAAACACACAAATGAATATTTGCTCGAATTTTGCTCAAACAAACGTGAGAATATATTTGGAATCCATCAAATAATGGGAAAAACTAAAATATTTTATTAATCAAGAAAAATGAATGTGTAATTCATAATATCCTAAACTCATATTTATAGATTCAAAACAAAACTTAATTATATTGAGATAATAATTCTTTAGATAAATTCAAATAAAACTAAAAAACCTGGTAAAATGACGAAAATATGTGCCTAATCGAAAAATGCTTTTGGATTATATTAACAGACGAAAAATGATGAAATTTGAAATTTGACCACCGGCAAAAATGTGCATAATCGAAAAATGCTTTTGGATTATATTAACAGACGAAAATTCGACAATTGAATTGAAAGTTATTCATGTTTTCGTACATCTTTTTTACTCCTCCACTTTTCCATTGGTTTATAATTTTTCCTTCTAATTGATCCGTGTGCGTGTGTGTATATATATATATATATATATAAACTGATTTTAATTCGACCAAGTCTCATTTTAATCGAAAATTCATTTTTTCCAAATATTATTTTTAATCACATATTTTTTAATAAAATAATATTATACGTAAACTGAAATTTTTTTCTTCATTTTGAATAGTACATTTTCCAAAAATCACTATTTAAAAATATATTTTTCTTCTCAAAATGACCAAACAGGGGCTTAACATTTTCATCTCGTCTTTAATTGATTTTGGTGGATTGTTGACTGACGCTAGACTATGGGTAGACAAGTACTTTTCATTTTTCGTCCTATTGGAATTTACTAACTATGATTGTACGTGAGACGTACATGTGAATAATTTCCCGTTCCGTTTGAGCCGCTAACTATAATAAGAAATTAAATATTCTTTTGTAATTTTTACACAGTAATTGGTCCCATTCATTATGTGTCTACCAAAACACAATAATAATGTGTACTACAACTAAACTATTAAGCCCCACACTCATAGCTGGCGCGTCCATTTCACCGCTCTATTATTTTCCAATTGTTGCCCCCACCCACTTAATTTCCACCCTTTTTTGTTCATACATATGTAAACCTAATCAATTCAAGGTTGGTTTGAAGTTCCATTTGAAAAGTTAAAAATTACTCGAGATATTAAAAATATATTTTTAAATAAATTTGAATAATTATTTTAAAGTGTTTTATCTGATTAGCAGAGCTGTTGAGAGAAAGTTACTCACTTTTAACAAAAAGCTTTCCTCCGCAAAAAGAAGCAAAAGTAGAAATTTACTTAGAGAACTATCGAGAATGACTCTCTTTCTTTACAAGAAATATAAACATATTTATAGTAGCCAGATGATAAACTTGTTTATCAATATAAATATATTAAAAGAACTCTAGTATATTATGGCACAACCTAAGCTAGCACCTATCTTAATGTCATTAATGGATAAAACACTTTAAATTTAAACATATGGATCCTAATAAATTGTCTGATCAATTGATAACATTTAATTGTCACCTAGGTTTGTATTTAGCATGCTACATATCATTACTCTATTTCGTAAGGTATAATAAAGAATAAAGATAATATCCGAGATGTCACGTGACTTTTATTAAAATATCACATACCCATATCATGTTTAGAAAATCACACAAACTTTAATATTTACAATTTTGGGTATTACATACACATTCTGACCATTTTTTAATGTCGTATATAATCTAAAATGAGGTTGCAACATACGTATGTATCCAACTCTTTACATAGTCATAATGAGAATTCCAACAAGTAGCTCCCGATCGCTGTATATGTAACCATTTGATAGGCCCCACTTCTTGACTCACACTCTCCAATAGTCAACATGATCTCTCTTTATGAAAAGTTTGCAACTTAATAACTCTATTGTGAGAAAAGTAATAATATGGATACATTGTTCAAATGAGAAAAGAAGCTCCAAATGACTTTAAAAAAAACATTAGTGGAA